ACTGCTAGGTAATAACAATTCACCTGACAGTGGATCCTTGATATTTTTATCACAGCTGAAGAGAAAACTTGAGGGTGCAGAGATGCGAATACCAAAGGGAAGAAAAAGCGAGAAAGAAAACGAAGCTTAGTAAAGCCAAATGATTTTTTCTGCGTAGCATAACGAGAAAATGGGACCGGAAGATCCTGTAAGCAAAACGCGAAAATAGAAGCATTGATTAATGTACCCAATGAACGTGTGTAAATGGATGACAGAACATGGAATTGGACATATAGTAAGGAGAGAAAAATTATTAAGAGCTTCAAAGGATAGACATTTTTGGAGAGCTATGACTATCAACATCTTGAAGGGGAACATCACGTTTGCCTTCTCTATAATTATATTCGTTCAGGGTAATTTTCCTGATAAAGTTTCCTTTTTGGTATTTGGACTTTTTGGGTATTTAAGCGCAGTACTAGATTGGCAGAGAGGAATCAATATTTTAAAGTTAACATTGTTAGATATAAACGTAAGTTATATGCTAAAAGTTTTTTCTCGCGCACTACTCAACTGTGGAACTCTCTACTAGCTTTTTCCTTTTCCAGTCAACCCCCTCCCCCACCGAAAAATGTATATGCAACGTCAATCGTGAAGCTTCTTGTTGTGTCGGAAACCTACCACCCCTCTTGAAGATGAAGTTGTCTGCGTCTGTGAACAAAGACTTTAAATAGTGGCATGTCAGTTGACATGGGAGAAGACAGATAGACAGAGAGGGTAAGACCTCCGAGTCTAGCTGAGTCGTGATACAGTCTTTGACTGTAAGCGACGTCTGTCGAACTCTCTACGTTAGCAGAGAGGAACCCGGACGAAGCTTTGCCGAAGGGCAAGGTTTCGTCCGTGGAGGTAGACAGGGCCTGAACCCGTCTAGGCGGGTTCAAAGGCTATATTTTTTACCCACATTAAACCGGCCTTGTGCCATATTCAATCCTCGTGCGTGGATCGATAAATACTAAGACAGATAGACAGAGAAGTTCTTAGCTGAGCTAGTTATTGACTACTCAGGCGATTTCTGTACCTTTTTACCAACCTATTAAAACCCTTTTTATTGTTACGTGTTATTTGTCGTTTGTCTCTACTAACCCCAAATCGACATCATAACACTTCTCTTTAATTCATAGTCTTTTATGTTGTCTCTCCTTAATAATATTTTATTTTCCTGATATTCTATCACAATAACTGTTGTCTTGCTTGAGGTGAAATGATTAAAAAAAAAAAAATGGAGATATGACCTTTGACCTTTGACTGATTGCAAACAAGACCGAATATCCTTTAAAGCATAAACTTCATAACAATACTTATCTTAATAAGGCACATAGACAATTCATGTGGGAAACGTGTTGGTAGGAAAATTGTGTTACACCTTTAATGAGATATGCTTGTCGGTAAAATAAATAAATAAATAAAATAAAATAAAATATCGACTTTTATCTGAACTCGAACACTGAGCAACCGGTGAGAAATACGTGACTATGAAGCAGGTTGCATACTCGAACTTTTGGTATATTTTCCCTTTCGTATGTCAAGACACATTTTCTTTCTTTACCGGTTTTTCTGAATTCTTTGATTTTTCAAGAGAAAACGATGATTGACGATTAATTTTATTCATCGTCTTATATATTCAATCTTCTATCGTTTCTCTCTTTCTGCCATTTCATTTTCTAAAAAAAAAAAAAAAAAAAAAATGGCATGTCTCTTCAGGACGTAAGCGGACATGGTTCGCTACGGTTTCCTTTTCATAAAATCTGTATACTCCCATCACTTCAGTGTGGTTTCGCATTGCCTTTTTACGGTTTGAAATTTTGAGTTTTCTTTTTCTAGACCAAATGTCATCCAAAGAAGGGGAGAGAGAGAGAGAGAGAGAAAATGAGAGAGAGAAATAAAGAAAGGAGAGAGAAAGATAGAGAGAAAAAATGAGAGAGAAAAAGAGAGATAGAAATAGAAAGAGAACAGTCCATCCTGCTAATTTTTCTTTTCTTTTTATTTTTTTCTTTCCTTCATTTTTCTCTTTCATTCTTTTTCTTTCCTTTCTTTTATCTATCCTGTTTTCTCTTAACCCTTTGAACCCTGCATTCCTGAACAATTTTAACCCTTCCGCCTGAGATCCTCAATCAAAATTATTTGTATGTAATGTTTCACGGTAGATATAAAAATAGGTACATGTGTTTACCCACCGTTCAACCGGTGGCTGGGCATTAAGTCATTTTTCTCAACCACTGTTCAATCTTTGGCTGGGCATTACGTCATTTTTCTCTGCTTCCGGTAAAGCGGTAGTCAGGGCTGAAACGGTTAACGCCATTTTGTTTTTTTCCTTCCTTTTTCCTTGTCTTTTTCTTCTCTTAACTTCATTTTTATCGTCTTTTATTTTATTCGGCTTTTATAATCTTATGTTCTTTTTTTTCTTTTTCTTTCATATGTCTATGTTCTTTTAATCTTTCTCTTCATTTATTTCTTTTTTCACTTTCCTTCCTGTTGTGAAGAAGAGGTTAACACTAATCAGCCGCTAGACTTGTACTGATACCTTCGTTATCCCCAGTGAACACTTATATGAGTGTTCACTTATGCTTATGCAAATTATGCATACTAATTTGCTAGTATCACTGCATCTCCCTGAACCTTAAGGGTTTTATTCCTCTCGTAGATCTTGTACTCTTTCCCCTTCTATTTTCCTCACTCTGCTCTATTTCTCTCTCTCCCGTATTTCTTTCCCTGGGAGACCTCGACCTGTCCCGAGCTAGGCTGTAGTCATATGTGTTTTCTTGCATAATCTGGTCTTCATCCGAACTTTCGGACTCCTTCTGGCCCTCTTCATCCTGCATTGTTTCCACTTCTGACGTTTCCTTCTGTTGTTCTACCAACTCGTTATCAGATGGAATTGAAGACATTTCTTCGTCGTTTCGTTCTTCCTCTTCACCCTGGGTCCTTATTTGGTCTGCATGGGCTAACACACAATCGCCATTTTCTCTATTTATTATGGCTGTATTGTGGCCTTTTTGCATTATAAATTCGGCTCCTTCCGGATCTGCATCTTTGCTCTTTTGGTACCACACCTTTTCATTTGTAGAATATGACATTGTTAGCGGAGCTCTAATCTGTCTTCCCATTAAAGCTGATGGGCTTTCCAGTCTTCCCGCATGTGGTATCGTACGATAGCTTAAAAGCAGCCTCGGTAGAAAAACTTCTACTTTTTCTTTTTGCTGAGAGCATGCTTTTAGCCCCTTTTTTACGTACTGTACCATACTTTCTGCCACTACCAGCCTTTTCTTGGGTCTCATATTTCTTCTTATAATCTGACTTATTTTTTCGAAAGTCAGGTCTTCCAAATTTAAGGGATATGCCATGGTGGAGACTTTCATTATCGCCTCGCATCCAACTGTAGCCAAAAATAAATCCGTGATTTCATTTTTGCCTCCCTTTTCCTTGTTGTCTTTCAACTTTTTTGTTCTCGCAGTGGCAGAGAAACAACGAATCTATGTATCCACGAATTCAGGATCTTCTAGAGACAATTGATATCCTATCGGCGACGCCATTGTTGTGAAGTAGTGGTTAGCACTAATCAGCCGCTAGACTCGTACTTCCTCGTTATTCCCAGTGACCACTTATATGAGTATTCACTCATGCTTATGCAAATTATGCATACTAATTTGCTAGTATCACTACACTTCCTTTTTATCTTCTATAAATCATAGTATCAACTTCACCTTTCTTATTCAATTGCATTATTTCAAATTTCCAGTTCTTCTTTCTGAATTTCTTTTCTCTGTTATTCTATTGAAACTTTCTCATAAATTTTTTCTTCATATCTGATTGATTTAAATTATTAAATCGTCTGTCGTAGCGTACGTAATCGTCTTTCTTCTACAGTCCTGAAAATGATGTACCCAAAGCTTTCCAATGGCTATGCTAGACGTCCATTTTGTTTTTATGCGTACTTGATAGATAAATTTCTGTATGTATTATGAGCCTGTCTTTGTTTCTGATCAATTTTATAAGAAATTCTCTTACTTCTCTTACCTCTTATCTTAGTTTCTTTTTCTTAGAATATTTGTTTATCATTTCCGTCCTATTTGGTAGATTTTCATCGTTTTTTCCTTCTTTCTTGCTTTGTTATAGTTTCATAGAGGCAAGGTGGAGTAATGGATAGCAGATCAGAATGAGAAATTAGAGATCCGATTTCGAATTCCAGTCGAATCCATTACATTCACTTACGTGCGAATACCCTTGGAAAATCTCTGGGGAATTAGCAGGAAAGATAGGGTTCTATAGCCTTGGTTAGGCAACTAAAAGACATGGCTACCTACCGTGGGAAAAATCTGCCACGTCAGCCATGTATCGAAAGATATATGATCGCTTAAGCGGGTATCACGCATGGCACATAACTGACTGACTGTAGACTCATGATGTTAATCACAACCTATATATAGAATGTGTGTAAATAAATATATAATTGTGTGTATTTAAAACAAATTTAATAGTTATATATATATATATATAATATTAGTGGTAAATATACACATACATACATATTTGTATAAAAAAAAAATATTCCAAGAGGATAGGATCCAGGTAGAACTCAATGTCCAGGGCAGAGTAAAGATAATAAAAATGCTTAAACAGTAATATAAAGACAAGGCTTAAACTCTAATACACTGACCATGGAATATTAGTTTCGAGCCTTTATATATATATATATATATATATATATATATATATATATATATATATATATATATATATATATATATATATATATAATATTAATAATATTAATATATAAAATAAAAAATATCTAATAAATAAAAATATCTATAAGAACACCGGATTATATATCTTGCTGTTCTTTCTTTATATATATATATATATATATATATATATATATTAGATGAAAAGTCTCGAAATTTCTTCATACATATAACTTTAAAATATGTTTCTATTTGCGCATCTTTATTTCAATATCGATCTCTTTGTTCTTATCTATCTATCTATTCTTGGTTTATTCATATCTATCTATCTATCTATCTATCTATCTATCTATCTATCTATCTAATCGTTTATCTCTAATTCATCTGTCATGCGCTGCTGCCATGCCGTTCAGATACTCTGCTTTATTCCAATCAGCCTCCACATCCCTCAGTACCTATACATCTACTTATTTCCCTTTAGCATCTGTACTTCCCAATCGTCCCTCGTTCTTTATGCAACCCTACCTGATTCCACCCCGTCTTTCCTGCCATTATTTTATGGCTAATTATGTCCTCTTGGCCCCGGCCTGTAGGTGGCGCCCTCTTTCTAGTGAAATCCGTCAGCCATTTGTCACTGTCATTTACATTCGTACTTTTACGAGACAGACGCACGCGAATATTCACTCACTCATTCACTTACTCAAATCTTTCGTACATTTTATGCTGCAGCCTCTTTTGTTTATTCACTTCATTCATTCACTTGCTTACTATATCTTGCTGGTTCATTGATTCTTTCCCTCCGTTTTTTATCCCTTTTTTTTTTAAATTCGAAATTTTCTTTTCTGGTCTTTATTCATTTCATTAATTATTCTGTTTTTTTTTGTCCTCTTTCATTTCTCCTTCCAAGTTAATGCTTCTGGTTTCGTTTTGTTAACTGGCTATCGCATATATTTTCTTTCAATCTTATTTTTTGAAGAAGGTAATTATTTTTGTTATTTGCTTTTCCTCCTTCGGTTGCTCTTTTTTCAATTATTGCTACTGATTCATTCATGCAATCATTCATTCTTTTAGACCATTCATAATTTTCTTTATTTATCCTCTCTATTATTTCCTTCAGTAAATTTCTATTTAGATATTCACGTCTTCTATTTCCTCATAAATACTTTATTTCACCCTCAAAATTCAGTTTTCTCAAAAGGTTAATTTTGACAGCAGCATTAAATAGTAAAACCGTTATTATTTTACTAAGTTTAGTTTCCCCTCCTCCTCCTTCTTCTTCTTGTCTCTTCACTTCAGGACATAGATGATCATCCTACTCTAACTAGTGTCGCTGACAAAACTATCCTGGCCATTTGTCTCAAAAAAGACCTCCAATCGGTTGTGGAGGGGGGGCAGGAATTGGCTGGTTAACTTTAATGCCTCAAAAACAAAACTACTCTCTATTACTCACAAGAGAGAGAACCATCCCTGCCTCCCATTAGAATGTCTGACGCTCAGCTACACTAGAGCACCGCTTTGCGACTGTTCGGCCTCACATTGACCTGAGATGGAACAAATACATTGAGTCAATAGCTTCGTCCACCGCAAGGAAAGTCGACTCCCTGTGCCACACCAGTCAATTCTTCAAATCTACAAATCAACCATTCGCCCTTGCATGGAGTATTGCTGCCATATATCGTCTGGAGCCCCTTCTGTTTGTCTCAAGGTTCTTGATAAAATACAAAGACGCATATACACTGTAATTGGCCCTGATCTGGCATTTTCGTCACAGTCGTGACATTGCCTCTCTCTGTCTTTTTTACAAATACTTTCACGGTAACTGCTCCGATGAGCTGCTTTCGCTGGTTCCCAGACTTCATGAATTTAAGCGTTCAACTAGGCTGGCATCTCGCTCTCACCCTGTCGAAACTGTTAAATGTAGCCGTCTCTTCTACTCCAATATCTTCATGTATCGCACTTCTCGCCTGTGGAACTCCCTCCCTATTTCTTGTTTTCCTGATAGCTATATTCTCCAACTATTCAAATGTAATGTCAATCGACGTCTCCAGATGCCCTGATCTATCCCCTAACCTTCTCTTCATCCTTTTCTCTATCACTTCTCTTTGCTCTTGCTCCAACTCTCTGTAACCCCTTGCGTGCTAGTGGCTTCTCGCCTTCCTTAGGGTGGAATACCAAAAAAAAAAAAAAAAAAATTACTATACCTTGTGGTTCATAGCTGTTTTTATCCCTTTGCTAAGGCCACCGCCTCTGTTTTGCCTTCCCGTTCCGCTATTCACACAAGCTAGCAGCCTTCTCCTATCTGTCTTGTCCTCATTACGCCCTGTGCGCATTAAGTTTTCCAAGGTCTCTTTCCTCATTATGTATCCAAGGGATTTCAACTGTTCTTTCCTGATTCTGAGAATAAGTGTTTTTTTTTTATTCCATTTTCTTTAAGATTTCTGTGTTGCTTAATTACTATATCCATGGAATTCTCAGTATTTTCTGTAGAATGATATTTCAGCTCCTTTTAGTTTTCTCATTTTTCGTGGGGTGATTTTCAGCATTCACTGCTATACATGAGAATTGACATCACATTCACAGCACCTTGTTTGTAATGTCGTCATAGTCATCCAATGCGTGTTTAGATCACTCTCTCGCAGTTTCTATCGACTGTTAAACAATTCTCAGTCATTTAAAATTCTGTACTTGCTTGTACATCTCCAATTTTTAACACACATCTTTTTTTTTTTTTATTTGCTGATCACCATGCATCCTGTCTTCTTCGGATTGAGATTTGAACCCTTTCTCCCGCTTTCGTTTATTACAGAGTCCTCGGCGGGTGGGTGTTTGGGTTTCTTTCCCTGCTTGTATTGTTAAGATTACGCTCACTGATTATAAATGTTTGGTTAGGTCACCAGTTCCTTTAGGATAGAGTCGCTGTAGAGGTCGAGTAAATCTGGCGAGAAGATGTATCATTGTCTTTAACCGCTTTCTGTTTTGTTTGTTTTTTTTTGTTGTTTTTTTTTTTTTGTAGCTACTCAATTCATTTTCGATTCGTCTCCAAAGCCGGTTGTATAATTTCAGAATGATTTTAAATATATTTCCAAATATACCGAGTTTTTCTCGCAGTTCAAATAGATCCTTGTGCCGTACCTTGTCAAATACTATTGCTTAATCTATAAAACATAAGTGCTCATCCTTAAGTAACTTTATTGCACTCTCTGGTATAATTCTAATCATGAACATTGCCTTTTTTGTTCCAGTGTGCTTGGAAAAGCCTCACTGTTCTTGTTTTATATTCTGTCTAATTTTAAGTTTAATCCGATTTGGCTGAAGATCGATGTCAATACTGAATAGAAAGTGCTCAACTTGATTTACTCAAATTCTTATACTTTTTTCTTGCCAGTGATCATGAGTCTCCACATTTTCTTTTTTGTTATTAGATTGCCATACTTTCTTTGGGAAGGCAATGGATTAGTTCTATTCCGACGATTCCACATTTTCGACAATTCCAAATTCAGAATTGTCTTTTTCTTAGGCTCTATTGCCAATCAAGGCTAGAAGATCAAGTATATCCTTAATTATGCTATAACGACATGGAGAATACATGAATTCATGTTTTTTTCTCAGTGATATAATAAATACAAAACCACATTTTAAACTCACTAAAATAGTCAAATAATTCTAAAAAGAAAACACTTCCCTTTACTTCAAATTTTATTATCTATCTATCTCAGTCTGTTAATTTCTAAGACATTTTTTATGTTTATACATTCTTTTTATAGATACAAATATTTAAGTAAATGCTCTGTTTATAATAAACAGTATTAACAACATTTACCGGCCTGAATGTCCGAGAAATTATGAAATTAAAAAAAAAAAAAATGAAATTATGCGTCTTCCGACAAGAATCGAACCTGTATCCTATACAGAAACGTCATATAGCTCCACGTGATTTAACCAATTGGGCCACAGAGGAGCATTCGGAGAGCTAGGTCCATTTTACTGTTTTTAAACACAATTCTCCATGATTTTCTCTCATTCATTCATATCTGATCAATGCGCATCCAAATGTAAACAAATGACGTCATACATTATGAAATGGACAAAGTCCGACAATTATTTAAGACACTTTTCATGTTTATACATTCTTTTTATAGATACAAATATTTAAGCCGGAGGACGCATATTTTCTTTGAAAATTTCTCGGACATTAAAACGTTAAACAGGAACTTGTAAACCAGACCAATGATGAGACGAATGAATTGGAATATTTAAATAAATTATTCATTTCAATGGAATATTAAAATCAACTTCAATGTTTTATAAAAACGAACCTTCGGGTTAAGGTTGGTCTAGTAACAAATAAAAAATAGCCTATTTCATATATTATAGGATGAATGGACGGTAAGGTTTCTCTACCTCTTCAGCAAGGAACAGTCAAGAAGTATGGACAGCTGACATGAGTAAAAGATTAAATGCTATCTTATTAGAGAGAACCAACTGCACATATAGTCAGTAGTTGGTTTTTGTTTTAGTCAGGTTGTCTGGGAGAAAAGAGCATGCGTTATTTTGTCAATAATGTTGGTTAAAAAAAAAAACAACAGATTTTAGAAGATTCAGTAAACGGTTTGTTTTCTGTCTTTCAGTTTCGCAACCACAGTCTAGAATATAGACACTGGCAATTGGTCAGGATGTGAGGAAGGAACGGAAATGCAAAAAGAAAATGATATATGCATATCACTTTGAAACTCGTCTTAACGCCAGTGGTTCAGATTGAATTCATCTATTGAAGATGTCAGTTTATTTCCGGCCTTCATATTATAAGCTGTTATCTAGACTTACGTAAGTCATTCATATATCCTGAGGTAAAAATATTTAATAATGTACTCTTAACATATCATTGCTAGTAGAGGAGAAAAAAAGATCTACCTACCTTCCAATCTATCTATCTATCTATCTATCTATCTATCTATCTATCTAATTTTGTCATATCGTGGTCTACGTTGCGTATTCCTTGCTTATCTATCTATCTATCTATCTCAGGTAAAAATTTTAACAATGTACTTTTAATATATCATTGCTAGTAGAGGAGAAAAAAGATCAACCTACCTTTGAATCTATCTATCTATCTATCTATCTATCTATCTATCTATCTATCTATCTATCTATCTATCTAATCTCGACCTGTTAATATCTATATATCTAATATCGACCTGAACATATCTATCTATATATCTAATCTCGATCTGTATATATCTATCTTTATGTCTAATCTCGACCTGTTCATATCAAACTATCTATCTAATCTCGAAGTGTTAATATCAAACTATCTATCTAATCTCGTAGTGTTAATATCAAACTATCTATCTAATCTCGTAGTGTTAATATCAAACTATCTATCTAATCTCGTAGTGTTAATATCAAACTATCTATCTAATCTCGTAGTGTTAATATCAAACTATCTATCTAATCTCGTAGTCTTAATATCAAACTATCTATCTAATCTCGTAGTCTTAATATCAAACTATCTATCTAATCTCGTAGTCTTAATATCAAACTATCTATCTAATCTCGTAGTCTTAATATCAAACTATCTATCTAATCTCGACTTGTTCATATTTATCTATCTATCTATCTATCCTGGACCTATTCATATCTATCTATCTATCTATCTATCTATCTATCTATCTATCTATCTATCTATCTATCTATCTCAGTCTTTTCATATATATCCAACAATTTTTGCAATTCTTTTCACATGTGGATCGCTCTCGTGCAGACTGTATGCGTACAATTCACCTCTATCCATTTCTATCCCTACTTATTTGTCTCACTGTATTTCTATCTCATTTTTTTTCGAATCCTTTGCTATCTATCTCTGTTCTTGCCGCATATCTCTAACCGTTTCACTCTCTCTCTCTCTTTCTCTCTCTCTCTCTCTCTTCACGTCCCCTCGTTACGTATCTATTGCTGTTTTTCCGGTTTCTCATTTTTCTCTCACTTTTCTCACTACTCGTGTCAATCTCTGTCCATTTTCTCTCTCTATCTGTCTCATTCTATCGATACCTATCAAATCTCATAGTACTTATATTTATCACTTTCTAGTCATATCTATCTATCTATCTATCTATCTATCTATCTATCTATCTATCTATCTATCTATCTATCTATCCCCCCTCTCACTCTCTCTCTCTCTCTCTATATATATATATATATATATATATATATATATATCATTCTCTTAGTATCTATCTCATACTATTTATATTTCTTTCTAGTCATGTATATCTATCTGATTCTATTTATATCTATCTCATTATTTTAATATATAGCAATCTATTTAATTCTGTCATTCTATATTTCATTCTATTCATATCTATCTATCTATCTATCTATCTATCTATCTATCTATCTATCTATCTATCTATCTCATTCTATTAATATCGATTTACCTATCTCATTGCAGTTATATCTATGTATCTCATCATTTTAATATCTGTCGCATTCTGTTCTTATCTCTTTCATATTCATATCTATCAATCTCATTATATTAATAGCTTTACATTGTATGCATATCTATCTATCTATCTATCTATCTATCTATCTATCTATCTATCTCATTCTATTTATATCTATGTATCTATCTCATTATTTTTATATCAATCAATCTATCCCATACTGTTCTTATCTATTTCATTCTATTCATACATCTATCTATACCTATCTCATTCTATTTATATCTTTCTCATTGTATTCCTATCTATCTATCTATCTATCTATCTATCTATCTATCTATCTATCTATCTATCTATCTAATTTCGATCTGTTCATATCTATCTACCTACGGTCTGTTAATATCTAACTCTCTCGGTATCTATCTATCTATCTATCTATCTATCTATCTATCTATCTATCTATCTATCTATCTATCTGTTAATGTCTTTGTATAATTGAATTGTCCAAATCTTCAACAATTCTATTCATGACAAAATCCAATCTGACAAACAAGCAATAATATTTATCACTTAGAAATGAAGACTAACTTAATTAAATACATGGCATTGCGTCAATACTGATTGATATACATTCCGACGTCCTATTTTCTACTTCCAGAGTTCACAATCGAGACAAAATTGGGAGACAAGCATAATGACTCAATGGATAGACACACGTGTTCCTTAGCCAACCTTAGCGTAGAGGGAGTTGCATAAGAGAATAAAGAATAATTTATTTCCTTTTGAAGCTTTTACAGCTCTTTCATATATTGTGTAAAGTGTCGCCTTTACTTATCGCAAAACGAATTAGGTATTTAGTTACGTCAGCAAAAATATATCACAAAGCGATTATGGTGGTGATTTTTAAGCGTAGCTTAGGTGTGGCACAAGGCCGAAAGCCTAAATCACCCGGTGAGAATCTAACTCATTACGAGGCAAAACCATTAGACCACCTCGAGGTGTCCCGATTGGAATATAATGATCAGGTCATTCAGTTATGTGCCATGCGTGATACAGGCTTAGGCGATCATGTATCTTTCGATACGTGACTGACGAGGCCGATTTTTTGCGCAGTAGGTTGCCATTTTTTCTGCGGTAGACCAGTTGTTATTCAAAGTTATAGAACCTGGCTTGTCCTCCTATTTACCCATAGCTGGTGGGAGTAGAAGAGGATTCCTAACTTTCCCCACTGTATTAGCACGTAAGTCTATTTAATGGATTCGAGTGGAATTCGAACTTTTCTCTTCGATTCCTCAATCCGACTGCTCTCCATTACTCCACTGTAATTATTCCAGGTAATATTTTTAATTACACGTTTTAATTGGTATTTGAAATCCAAGTTATTGTAATTTCGTATAATGTGAGTAATAATAATTATAAATGCTTATTATTTTTCAGACACATAATTGTTGGAATATAATACGATGACATTCGAAGCGTAGCTTAGATGCGGCACAAGCCGACTCAGTGAGGATTGAACTCACTACATAGTTGTAATTGTCTAGCGAGATAAGCTAGGTAAGTATTATAGCACGTCGAGGTGACCCTCAGGCATTATAGTGGATTGAAACAAGTGTTCGTAACGTTTTTTTTCAGTAAATTCATATAATTTTTAAGTGAATTTTATCATCATTATTTGGCCCTTAAATAATTTATCTTTGCTTTCTATAAGCCTATGTGAAATATGTCAACTGTAATGTACAGAGTGTTGTAGCAAAATCCGACACTTGACAAATGGGAAAACGAAAGACGATAGACAGTCCGAACTCTGTAAGTATTGTTAATCATTGAACTATTTATAAGAAGTGTTCCTCAGTAGCCTGACATATTGAATATGCTGAAACGTTTGAGCAAAAAAGGAGAGTTATATGAAAGTATTAGACCTAAAGAACCAGCCATATGTAGAATTTACCCTTTCCACAGAATCCTTCTCTTCGGCTTAATATTTGCAACATGATGCCAGAAATTAACGGGTAAAACACAATCATCGCTCAATTCTATGTCAAGTAAAGTCCCCTAAATGCCTCTTTATACTTGGATAAAATAATATAATTGGTTATAACTTAAGATAGCCAAACAACGTATCGATTCGCTTATCCAAGAATTCTTTTTTTTAATGCATTACGAATATATCCAGTGTCGAAGGACCTTGAATATTTTTCATCAGCGTTCCATTTTGTTCGCCATTATCAGCAACGACTATAGCTAATTGTTCAGTTCTGTTACTTTCAGAATTTGTTCCCCTCATTTTGACGTCTATTTTTGGTCAAATGCTTCAACACCACATCGAGGGACTGAGTGATCGTCCTTGAAAAATGAACTGATAAGTTGCTAGAGGGCGCACCATTGCCTGAACATAAAGTTACTACCAATACGAGGCTTGTCAGAGCACGCAATCGACAGTTGGCCAGTGATTAAGATCGAAGAAAGAAGGAGGATTAACAAGGATTAATTCGTCGAAGAATTATTCGAATTACAAACAGAAGTGCCACATACATCCCTCGTAGGGGGTGGAGGCTCTTAAATATTAACAGAAGTTTCTTTTATGCTGGAATGTAAATAGTTGACATATGACGAAGGCGCATTTAGCATAAGGATAAATTCTTTGATGACTGAAGGATAATGATACGAACTTATGTGAATAAATCATTTTCCTAGAAATGCAAGACATTTTTACGACATTATGGATTGCATTTGCGGACGAAAACTTGAGAATGCTACGTATTTTCTTAACTGGTTTTTGAGGTGTATTCAGAATGGTGTATTTACATATCGACAACAGGATAAGGTTTGGAAATCGTTGGACTGATTGAGCGATGGTGAAGTTTCAAGATATTGGGCTTACTAATCGCCTTGTTAGTTGCCTCTATTTTTTAGTAATGTTATTTGAATTCGCCAGAGATGAGCGTCCTTTTCAAGGATCCATCGTGTCTTTGCTTTTAACGAATAAGAGTGTTTACAGAGAATTATTTTTTCTCCGTTATCGTAACGTACCTCCCAGTACATCTGTCTTTCGTTGCATAACGTCAAAACTTGGTGCCTTTATAAAAAAAAAAAAAAAATAATAATTATTTCGGAGAACATCTTTTTTCAATAATCTTTAGCATGTATGCAGTGAAAAAGATGATAGAACCTTTTGCACACTATTTACATTATTCGGACTATTGTTCTCATCTTCGTTGCCATATTTATCACAACGTTTCGTCCGTTGTACGCTCCGGTCTTCTTCAGGTGGTTGGAATGTCAAACTGAACCCTTTATTTCACTCACTGGGGTAGACTGTTCTACTTCCACGTGCCATGTCTAATGGATGTGAGTTATCCGTTATCTCCTGTTAATTCCCTTCTCCAAGTTCTTCACCGCCTGAACAAGAGACGGTTACATTTAACAGTTTCGACAGTGAAAGGGTGTGAGCGAGATGCCAGCCTAGTTGAGCGCTTAAATTCATGAAGTCTGGGAACCAGCGAAAGCAGCTCATCGGAGCAGATACCGTGAAAGTCCACAGAGTAAGTAGGTAGGGGTAGAGATTCAAAACACAGCTGCTGCAGGCTGAGCAGTGTGAATGGGCGCGTTATCCTGGAGCAAGAGAAACCCTGTTCTCAGCTTCGCCCTGAGTTTCGACTTGATTGCTTCTTTCATTTGTCGTAATGCTGATGCATAGTAATGGCCATTAATATTAGGTTGGTGCAAAAATAATGACGTAATAATTTCGTTTTTAACGTATTTTTTAACGTCAAAAAACGACATTATTACGTCATTATTTTTGCACCAACCTAATAGTTTTTTCTTTTTCCAAGTCGTCTATCATGATCACGCCTGCAGAATTCCGAAAAAAAAAAAAAAAAAATCAGAAGCCATCACGTTGCCAACAGACGCTCCCTGCTCGAACTTACCTGCGGATGGAGAACCAGATGGTTACGACTGCTTTGAATCTTTGATTCTAATCCCAATTGCTGAACCCAGGTTTCATTATAATTTACTAATGTACGAGGAAAATAATCAGGGTCAGCCTGGAAGTGAATCAGAAATGTTCAGGAAATGTCAACCCTTTTCAGCTTCTGCTCTCGTGACCCATCTTGCAGACGGTTTACACATTTAGCGCTCAGTTAAAACAGTATAGACCGAACCAGAACTAATGCTTATGGATATGGCTAACATCTAGTTGTTAAGATGTCTGGCATTCAAAACCGTTCGTTGAATGGCATCATTCTTGTTCATCAGTGATCGGAGATTTTGGACGATATGGCCGCGGGTCATCTTCCGTGTGGTCCTTGGATTTTGCAGCCCCCTTTTCTCATAGGAAGAGGAGTCCTCAGTAAGTGTCTACACTATAACCTCATGGATTTCCATGGGGTACATACATTTCTTTTTCAGATAATTTATGATTGCTCGCAGCTTTGGTTTGTGCTTTTTTAGATTTGTCGTACGTCTCTCATTTTTGTACGCGCCTCACCAGCACAAAAGAAATCTAAATCAGTTTTTCTAGTTTTATAAGAGTTGGTAGTGTGTAGTCACAACAAAATTGTTCAGCTATGGCTCTTCTTCCTGCTTGACACGACCCTAGTAAGTATCTATCCACCTATCTATCTATCTATCTATCTATCTATCTATCTATCTATCTATCTATCTATCTATCTATCTATTAGGTTGGTGCAAAATAATGACGTAATAATGTCGCTTTTTGAAGTATTTTTAACGTCAAAGAACGACATTATTACGTCATTATTTTTGCACCAACCTAATATCTATCTATCTATCTATCTATCTATCTATCTATCTATCTATCTATCTCATTTTTCGTAACCCTCGATTTCATCGTCAAAATATTACTTTTTTCAGTATTTCTTGAAATTTATTTTCCCGACGAGGTAAAGTTTAAAGAACATTTTCCCTATGATTTTTTTTAAAGTTAGATCTGTCCAAACTGTTCATTGTAACAGTATCTTA